GCTGGCTCAATTGGTAGAGCATGTGTCTCCTGACCTCAGGATTGTAAGTTCGAGCCCCACATGGGGTGCAGAGATTACTTAAAGCCTTTTAAAGTTTAAAAAGTTTTAGAACAGTATTCTAAAATCTTATACAAGGCAGCCCTGGTGGCCCAGCGGTTTAGCGCCGCCTTCAGCCCAGGGTGTGATCCTGGAGACCCGGGATCGAGTCCGTCGGGCTCCCTGCATGGAGCCTGCTTCTCCCTCTGCCTGTGTCTCTGCCTCTCTTTCTCTCTGTGAGTCTGTCATGAATAAATAAATAAAATCCTTAAAAATAAAAAAATAAAATCTTATACACACATGAACTTAGGACGTGTGTAAATTTGCAGAAAATTGATTTTGCTAAACTACGAACAGCTATTCCTCAAAGAAGGTGGTGTAACAAACTCTTAAGGCAAACTGCCTGAGTTCAAATCCTACCTTTAATAATGACGATCTCTGTGATTTTTGCCAAGTTCTTTAGCCTTCTTTGTATCTCAGTTCCCTCTTCTGTATTGAGGAATGACAAATTCTGAGGATTAAATAAATTCATACATACAAAGCTCTAGAATAGTACTGAATGTACTTTGCTACTATTATTTTAACATACACTTTCAAAAACTAAGGGTTGATATAGTCAGGTAAGTAAGGTAAAGGGGATGTGAAACCTCTGTACTACCTTTGCAACTCCTTTGAACCTATAATTATTTCAAAATAAAAAGTTTTTTAAAAGGCAGTTTAAAACAAGCAGGTGATAAGAAGACTGTTAAGATGGAATGTTATGTGAAAAAAGCAAGATGCAGAGCACTATATCTAGTAAGCTCTATTTTGTGTAGAAAAATGGGGATAGGGGGCAGTCTGGGTGGCTCAGTTGGTTAAGGGTCTGCCTTGGGCTCAGGTAATGATCTTAGGGTCTTGGCATGGAGCCCACATTGGGCTCTGTGCTCAGTGGGGAGACTGCTTCTCCTTCTCTCTTTGCCACGCTCTCAATGCTGTCAAATAAAATCTTAAGAAAAATTGAAAAATGGGTAAGCATATGAGAGTATAGATTTGTTTATGTAAAATGAAATTCCAGGGGCACCTGGCTGGCTCAGTGGGGAGAGCGTGCAACTCTTGATCTCGGGGTTGTGGGTTTGAACCCCATGTTGGGTATAGATTACTTAAAAATAAAATCTTTTAAAAATAAATAAATGAAATTCTAGGAGGGAACTGACAACCAGAGCAGTAGAACCACAACCTGGCCAACACTTGTTATTTTGCCATTATTTTCTAATTTTTATTTATTTTTTTAATATTTTATTTTTATTTATTTATTCATGGGAGACACGGAGAGAGAGAGGCAGAGACACGGTCAGAGGGAGAAGCAGGCTCCATCCAGGGAGCCCCATGTGGGACTCAATCCCGGGACTCCAGGATCATGCTCTGGGCCAAAGGCAGGCTCTAAGCTGCTGAGCCACCCAGGATCCCCTATTTTCTAATTTTTAAAGGGCATATTTAATAGGACCTTACTTCTGGAAAGCCTGTGCAGCTTGGATCCAAAGTGGGTATGTTCCTTTTTTTGTCTTTTTGTTTGTGATTTTCTGGATATCAAAATTCAAACCCAAAACCTGTTGATGGTGCTGGACTCATGATCATAAGTTTTCAGCAGACACACTTTTCTCCACTGGAACCCCTTCCTTGATTGTCCCTATCCATGGGTTTTCTAGCCCATTTCTTTCCCTGACAGAGTAGCCCTTGGAAAGCTCTTGTTCCAGCACTGACTTTACAATCTAAACCCTCAGACAATGGAGAGGTTTCCACACCCTCCTCTGGAAGCCACAGAACCACTCAGTGACTTTACTGCTCTGGTTAGTCCCTAATTATTTTAACCTCCTGGGCATTTCCCTCACATTCCTGTGAGATTAGATCTGGTTATATATGCTGGTCATATCTTACTAGCTTTACTAGGTATTTGAGGTGGTGGTAGGTAGTGTGGATTTCAAATATATTACTCCACTGTGTAGCTGGAACTGGAAGGCCTCCACCCTACGATTATGATTATATAAAAATGTCATCAAGCAATGGGAAGAAGACAAATGGAAATTGACATGTTTGAGGAGTGGGATTAGAGATGAAATCTTTCTTTTAGAAATTATCTTTATGTTTTTGTTAATGCAGCACAATTCAGGAAAAAAAGAGCTGGGCTAGATAAACTCTTAACGAAGCTGATAATTTTTTTTTTTTTAAAAAAAGGGCCAGGGGATCCCTGGGTGGCTCAGAGGTTTAGTGCCTGCCTTTGGCCCAGGGCGTGATCCTGGAGTCCCAGGTCAGGCTCCCGGCATGGAGCCTGCTTCTCCCTCCTCCTGTCTCTGCCCCCCTCTCTCTCTCTCTATGTCTATCATAAATAAATAAATAAATCTTAAAAAAAAAAAAAAAAAGAACACTTTAAAAAAAAAAAAGGGCCAGTAGCACAGGTTTGGGGCATTAAATGTTTATTAAATCAAGCCTTTAAATTATATCCACCTACAGTCTGTAAACAGATACAGTACACATGTAAGTAAAAGGCTCTTAGATTAGAAGTGGTGGAAAAAACTAAAGATCCCTTTGTACACAGGCACCTCATCACTCCGTGGGCTGATGCCATGGGGCCATGTTTTAGTTAGATGAAAAACCAGAAGGAGTTTTAGCTCAACTCAACCTGCTAGGATGGATTTCAAGACAGATATTTGTTCCACATTATAGTAGGTTGGATTATAGCAAGGCAACAGTGAAGTTTTTACATTCACAGATTGGCTGAAGTAGTACAAATTAGGCTTTTCCTCTAGATGTCTCCCTCCCTATTACCATAATTAGTAAGAAATGAGAATTAAAATAAATGATGGACCACAGGCTTACAAAAATAGATAACTCGTAGAGTAATAAATATCTACAGTTAGCAGAGCACAAACTTATAAAATTTGCCTCTTTCCATAATATGCAGGATATCAGAAGTATGTTCAAAAGATATAGTCTGCAGACCAGATTGGCAAGATAACACTCATAAAGAAAAAACAGTCAAGTACAAAACTCAGAGTAGGAAGCTGAATGCAGATGAGAATATATGTAAAACAAAATCCTAACTCTTCACATCTAATTATCCCACTTAACAGACACACAATTAGCTTACAGCCCTTTAAGTATCTTTAAAAGTAACACTTTGTTATCTATGTACACATTTTTAAAAAGATTAATCATGAGACAAGCAAAAATTGATTAACAGTGGCACTAAAATCAATGAAAATTGTGGATTTCATGTGCTTTCATATACTTCTGTGTATGAGGATTTAAAATGCCTCCCCCAGAATGTTTTGGATTGAGTTTTTTAAATTCCCACAAAAATCTATTCTACAATCATTTCAGGTATAGAAGGAAAAAAGTCCCAAGCTGAAAAAAAAAAAAAAAGTCAAAATCTCACAAAGTGACTGAAAATCCATGAATACATAAGTGACATTCATATATTCCCTTAACACTTACCAAGTGCTATGTAAGGTAACTATAATGCTGTCCTGAAATCAATCTCTTTTAAGAAGATACAGTAATTCCCATTCTAATTCTAGAATTAAAAGCACTTATTTGACATAATGTGCGTTTCAGCGAGGTTGACATCTACTTGGTTGTACTTGACAGTGTCACCTTAAAGCTTCATCAAAGATTCATTGCAGGCCTGAACTGTAAAAGTTCATAGCTAACAATACCACAGGTAGGTAGTTCTTCATCCTAACTTTTCCGAGGAGTGAAGGGTATGCTTGAGCTGTCCTCGGGTCACCTCAGCCTAGAGCAGTGTTCCCTTGAAAACTTGGCAAGTTTCTTTGCCAAAAAGAATCTTCATAGTCTAATGTATTTGGAACTCACTGGGTTCGACACGTTCTACTGATATGCTAAGATACACTCTACACCTTCAGGAGGGGTGTGCTGAGGCAGCTCTCCCCAAACGCACTTGGCCTTGCCAGAGAACACCTAGAACAACCATGGGATCCCAGGATGCTCATTTCCTATGGCATGTGGTTTGAGAAATGCCAATGTAGGTAAAATTTCTAAAGTAGTGGTTCTCAAGTTGTAGTGAGCATCAGGAACACATGGAAGACATATTAAAGAATAGATACCTTACCCCACTTTGGAGCTCTGGAGTGGGACTTTGGAACCTGCATTTATGAGAGACTCTAAGTGAAGCTGATGGGAGGACGACATTCTGAGTGGCATCCATCTAGGCAACAACCCATGCAAATCTCAGCTGCAGGAAGCCTTGCCATGGACTCAGGAAAGGCTGCACATGGCATCTGCCACAGCCAATTAGCTGGGGGTCAAGTCAGCCCAGTGATGCGTGAGGTCTGGGCACCCTGGTGGGGTGGAGGAACACTGGACTTGACACCCAGCTCTGCCCCGACTCCCCAGGTGATCAGTGACTGCAACTCAAAAGAGGAAATAATAGGAGTCCCATCTCAGTGGATCTGTGAGGCCTACAGGAAATGTTTGCACAAAAGGACTACCTAACAAAAAGCATCATCCAAAGGTCATTAATCAGTAGAATGTGCTGGTCACAGCAGGAAAATCCCAGATGCATTTTCTGCCTTCCGCCACTGCTGAGCCTTTAGGAGAAGCACATTCTGGCAGCTAATGAAGAGAAAAGAGGCTAAAAATGCAGAAAACTGCAAAGAGGAAGATACATAAGTGGATCATCTAATTAAAAATCTCTAATTGTTAAAAAAAAAAGACCAACCCACAATCAAAGTAGTTAATTATGCTGGCTTTGAGATAGAGTTTAAGTTACAGTATGTTGATCTTTGAACACACTCACGCCTCTGTTCTACCATGTTAATGCTGGTTCAGTTTTAACATTAAGAGAATGAGAAGAAGAAGAAAAAAAAAAAAACAAACCTTCACTCAAATGCATATGGAGCTGATGTAAAAAATTTAGCTGAGATTCATTCCCATCCTTCCAAGTTACCATGGTGGGAAAATTTCAAAAGTAATTTTTAAAAAGGACCTTTAATTTTGGTTCATAGAAACATCCACAGCATGAGAAATGAACGCAGACTCACACGCTCACACATGTGTCTATTTGTTGCCCACCACATCTTAGCTAGTGAACTGCTTCTTGCAGTTCAAAAATGAACTGGTAAAAATTCATCCGCACCCATGACGAGATGATGGTCAAGCAAACATTGTGTTGCCCAGTCTGTTTCCATCTGAATGGAAAAGACTGATCAGAAAGGCAGCGCGTTCCCCAACACGCTGCACCAGCCACTTTATACATGCTCTGGGTGGCTCTGGAGACAAGCCAACATCTCTTGAACGGGTTTGCCTTCATAGCAGATCTGATACACTGCAGTAAACAACGGGAACCTGGTTGGGAGGAAATGTGAAAAAGACGAGTTAGGCTATCTGGTTTACCTTACAGAACAAATCAGTCTTCCTCTTCTGCCTATCAGATTGTAGATGGGTGTGCTACATTGGACAATAAAGCGAATGCCTTCTATACTCCTATTTGATCGGCAGAAAGCCTCTGCACTGTGGCTCTAAGGTGTTGGTATGACCTAGACCATCCTTCACCTACTTGTTTGGAGTACACAGTCTACAAACAAGTCACAGGGTAATTCCTGCAGGGGCATCTCTGATCATTTATGTGAAGAGTTGTAGCTTAGACTCTTGGTCAAGTCTGGAATGAATCCAAGTTTCTGTCGATATTTTAAGAGACTGGAGAATAAATTTTAAATTGCAAGGAGGTATTGCTTTCCCTTCTCCAAAAGGGATCATCCAAGGATAAAGATGAGGCAGCCCACACATCACCATAAATAGTTCGGGTCTGGAACACTCCTGCAAGAATCAACGTGGGCACCCACAATTAGCAGAGCACTGATCTCAAGTTGGAAGCTGGGTTTATTTTGCCTTTTCTTCTAAGATGTGAACACAGATATAAATATAAATGAAAGTTTGAAATGGCTGAGGGTATAAAGGGAAGGGTTAATAATCTATTGTGAGAAAAGACAGCAGTATCCCAGGGTGCAGCTGGTTCATCAAGTATTTTAAACAGCAGATATCACTAAGGAAATAACAAAGGTAATTTCAATCAGGCTTTTAAACACACACACACACACACACACACACACACACACACACACACACTCAACCCAAAGTGAGCTTGACAGGATCAATAGCATCTTAAAAGCCATTCTGAAAATTTTCTAGTTGGAATTCTATAATGACAACTTAATTTAAGAATAGCAAATAACCCTGATAGGTCATATGTCTATCACTGTGGGTTTTTTTAGGTACAGAATATTTTATTTTTTGGAGTCAGGGGGACAGTCAAATCTGACCCCACAGCCTATCTGCTCTGGGCAAGTTTCATAACCCCTCTGTAAAATGCGGCAGGACCTGTTGTGTTTTTGTTTTTGTTTTTAATTTTATTTATTTATCCATGAGAGACACAGAGAGGCAGAGACACAGGCAGAGGGAGAAGCAGGCTCCTAGCAGGGAGCCCGATGTGGGACTCGATCCCGGACCCCCAGGATCACACCCCGGGCTGAAGGTGGCGCTAAACCGCTGAGCTACCTGGGCTGCCCAAGACCTGTTGTGTTAAGGTCTGTTGTATTAAGTGACTTACATGTAACATACAGAGAGTATAACTTGGCACATGGTGGGTGTGCAGTAAGGGACAGTTTATATTCACAGCCACACGATGGCCAAATAGGTCCTAGCAAGCTCCTGAAGGACAGAGCCTCAGATGTTTTGTTCACCTCTGCATCCTTGCGGCCTGGCACAGCGCATGGCTGGGGGCAGGTGCTCAGCAAGTATTTGTTCAATGAACTATTGAGAATGGGAGTTAGAGCCTGCACATTTCAGCTCGTTCATCTTTCCATGGCTTAGTTCTCCTGATCCTACGATGAGAACAACTTATGTGTCCCCAAAGCAGGGTGGCAGGTGATGAGTGGCCCACCCAAAGCCATTCCTAACCCCTTCACTTTTTACCAATAGCCTAAGGCTCAGTTTCCCAGCCTTTCTTTCTCCCAGAATTAGCCAAGGAAACAAGTTCTAGAGAACAGGACTCAACATCTCTGTTGAGGGCTTTGGGGGAAGATACTCCTCTCCTTGAGAGGCACTGGAGACTGTACCTGCTCCATGTCACGGAGTGCAGCTGTGTATATGATGCATGGAGCTGCTGCAGCCATCTTGACATTCTGAGGGAATACTAACAGTATCACTGAGATTCTAATCTAGAGGCACTGTGCCAACACCAATAAAATGACCTCCAGAGTCCTTGTTCTATGAGAAAAATAACCCTATTGCTCAAGGCATTTTTAACTGGGCATTGCTCTTGCAGCCAGAACCACTCCTGACTTTCATAAACAGAGCTTCCAAAATGGATTGTGTAGATTAGATGCTAACATGAGATTGGGAGTATGGGGGGGGCGGAATTTCTATGGAAATTGCAATTTCTAAGGAACTTGTTTAATCCTCACAACCACCCTATGAGGGGGATAATTTCCTTATCCTCATTCCATAGATAAGGAAACTGAAGCACAGTTTCTGACTCTGGAGCCAACATTCAACCACTAGGCTATCCTGCTCATCTAAATGCTGTTTTATACAGCATAAAATACTACAAGGCCAATTAGATCAGTTTGGAGAGGTTTCTAAATGAGATTAGAAGTGAAAGGAGGGCAAAAGACAGTATTTCAATGAAAAATATAGGCATCAGCCAATCAATCAGCCAGCCCACTAATGGCTACTAAGGACTTAAGATGTGTCAGGCTTCAACCAGGTGCAGGATGTCCTCAGAGAGCTTACAACATTGTTCTGGGCTGAGTTGTACCCCTAGCCTCCAATATCCAATGAAGTCCTAATCCTCAGTACTTGTAAGAAGAAAATTAAAAAGGGGGTCCATAAGTATGGGCCCTAGCCCAATATGACTGATGTCCTTATGAGAAAAGGAGATTAGGACTCACACATGGACAGAAGGAAGACCACATGAAGACCCGGGGTGAAGATGGCCATTTAGAAGCCAAAAAGACAGGCCTCAGAAGAAGGCAGCTGCTGGCACCTTGACCTTTAGACTTCTAGCCCATGAGAAGTAAATTTCTGCTGTGCAAGCCCCTCAGCCTGTGGTATTTTGTTATGGCAGCCCTAGCAAATGAACACAAACACCTGATTCTCACACATGCTCATAAAGATGCATGCACAAGGAAATCAAATCAAGCAAACTTTGTAACAGCAGAAAAACCCAGACAACTTTACTGTCTATCCAGAGGAGACTGGTTAAATAAACTGTGGTTCTCCCACACAGTGGAATGTTCTGTAGCCATTAAATGAGATCTATTGGTGCCGATGTGGCATGATCTTCGAATCACGCCTTCAAGTGAGGAAAAGCAAGGGGCAGAGCACAACGCAGAGCACAGCACCCATTACATAAAAAGAAGGACATACTAACAGTTCAGACAGCTGCCTGCATCTAAGGTGGGGATTTGGAGTCATTTTTCACTGTGTGCCTTTTTCTAGGACTCAAAGTTCTTTTTTTTTTTTTTAACCGAGAGCATGGGCACCCCCCTCCAAATCTGAAGAATGAAAGTAACATTGTATGTTCATGTAAAAAGCCACAGCAGCTGAGCAGCAGTTCTGTCTAAACCTGGACTCAGGGATCCCTGGGTGGCGCAGCGGTTTAGCGCCTGCCTTTGGCCCAGGGCGCGATCCTGGAGACCGGGGATCGAATCCCACGTCGGGCTCCCAGTGCATGGAGCCTGCTTCTCCCTCTGCCTATGTCTCTGCCTCTCTCTCTCTCTCTCTGTGTGTGTGACTATCATAAAAAAAAAAAAAAAAAAAAAGTAAACCTGGACTCAGGGATGCCTGGGTGGCTCAGTGGTTGAACGTCTCTCTGCCTTTCACTCAGTGTGTGATCCTGGGGTCCTGGGATCGAGCTCTGCATCGGGCTCCCCACAGGGAGCCTGTTCCTCCCTCTCCCTGTGTCTCTGCCTCTCCCTGTGTGTCTCTCATGAATAAATAAATAAAATCTCTTTAAAATAAAAATATAAACAAACAAACAAACCTGGGGTCAGCAAGCCACAGCCTGAGAAACAAATCTGACCTATGGCCTGTTTTGTACTGCCTGCAAGATGAGGACAATTCTTACATGTTTCGAGGGCCATAAAAGGAAAAAAAAAAAAAAGAATATACAACAGAGAGCTCTATGCGGGCTGCAAAGACTAAATGTTTACAATGTTGTCCTTTACAGAAAAACTTTGCTGACCACTTGTGTAAACAATATGTTCAAGGCAGGAAAGTTATTTGCATCTGAAGGGTATGGATGAAGGCGGCTCTGAGGACAGGCCCAGGCTGCTTCAAGGGTGGTCAGGGCTGACCTGTACATCCAGGCAGGCCCAACAGCAGGAGGACAGATGCACACAGAAGTCTGAGAAGGAGGTATTGGGGCAAAGGGAAATCTGCTTCAACTGAAGAAGGGGTTGTAGAAGGTTACAGGACATAAGTGTTAGAAAGTTCAGTTGGTACAGAACCGAGAGGGCTGCCCCAAATGCCAACCTAAGGACTCATCATTCTGGATGAGCAGAAGGCCTGTGAACTAGAATACTCGAGCTGGAAGGCACCATGGCAATCATCAGGTCCACTAGTTCTATTTGGTGGGTAAAGAAAACTGGGGCACAGATAAGAATACGACCTGTCCAAGACCACATGGCTGGGAAGCCGCAAGGTGGCCGTAGGTGCTGTCGCCTGCTCACTGCTCTTTCTGTTAGCCACAGAGAAGGAAAGACAGGAAGACCTGGGCAGTGATGGCTGGGATGACAAGGGGGAAAAAAAAAATCAAGGTAAGAGATAATGCCAAGGGAGAACTGCAGAGCTCAGGGGCTGCCTGAGCAGTGCTGGGAGGTGGGTGCAGGGGAAGGGAGAGCCCCTACAGATGTCTACACTGCAACCTGGAGAAACCATGTCCCCTCCAAATGGGCAGTGACCTCATTAAGCACAGGCACAGTCTGTTTAATTTCTTTTTTTTTTTTTTTTATTTATGATAGAGAGAGAGAGAGAGAGAGGCAGAGACACAGGCAGAGGGAGAAGCAGGCTCCATGCACCGGGAGCCCGATGTGGGATTCGATCCCGGGTCTCCAGGATCGCGCCCTGGGCCAAAGGCAGGCGCCAAACCGCTGCGCCACCCAGGGATCCCGTCTGTTTAGTTTCTAAACAGAAGAAAGAAAATGGGACAAGACGGAGGAAGGGCATCTGCTCAGAGCCAAGTTTCACTTGCTTGATTATACCTGCCTTTTTTTTTTTCTTTTCTTTTTTTAAGACTTATTTGAGAAAGAGAAAGCATGGGCAGGCGGGGCAGAGGGAGAGGAAGAGAGAATCTCAAGCAGACTTCAGGCTGAGCTCGGAGCCTGACAGGGGGCTTACTCCCAGGACCCTGAGATCATGACCTGAGCCAAAACCAAGAGTCGGACACTTAACTGACTGGGGCTCCCAGGTGCCCCTACACCTGCTTTTTAAGAGATTTTATTTATTTGAGAGAGAGAGAGAGAGAGAGAGAGCACAAGCAGGGGGAGGTGCAGAGGGTGAGGGAGAAGCAGCCTCCCCGCTGAGCAGAGAGCCTGATGATCTCTCTTGATCATCACATCTCTACCTCTACATGATCTCTTACCCTGAGATCATGACCTGAGCCGAAGGCAGACACTTCACTGACTGAGCCACTCAGGCCCTCCAACACCTGCTTTTTAAAATCAGGCAGGTACTGATCCCAGAATGCCAGTTCCAGTCTACAGCCTCCCCAAGTTCCATGATGAATATAACACTAGCCAACTCATCCATTCATAGAAGCCTAGCAAATACATCCCATGGTCGCACACAGGTGCCACTTTAAAACCATGATTGGGAGACAGTTATCATCCACTAGCACTCAAGTATTTTCTAAAGACTTTTAAAAAAATTCCTGACAACTACTCAGTGTTTATTAAAGTAGCCCCACCACACTCAAACACATCACCATTTGCCGTTGAAGTATGTAGGGAAAACCATGCACCTAGGAGGTGTTTTCCTTTTAGTCATGATTTAACGGTAATTCTCCTCTTCTGGAGGCCTGTTTATGACTTCCATCTCTGCCTGGCTGGTTTTGAAAGCCATTTCAGAAAAATATAATGCTAATGAAAGAAGGAAGACAAATGTCCTGTCTGCCCTCATTTTCAACTTGCCACAGGGAACTCTATGGGTTGATCAGTTTGTACTGGTCCAGAGAGGAAAGCTGGGTGTAGGGGAGGTAAAGGCATGTGGTCAGGACCAAGAGACACATGCACTGACCTGAGGAGGAGGGAGACACACCAGAGAACGAGCAGACACGCCTATAACCATCACTGGCTCAGGGAGACGAGTGTGCACTGTTGGCCACAAATGGCAGTGTCTGCTCAGCCACCCAGTCCCCTCTTCTCCCGGGCAAGCAAACGTCCCCGCTCCCTCCTGAGGAGCCAAGGACCCACAGAGTATGCTGTGTATGCCTTTATTAGGTGGTGTCCTGCCATCAAGGTTATGGAAGACGGCTCAGCAAATGAGCAAGATAGAGGGCCACAGGGCAGCCGCAGAAAGGCTGGCGGCTTTTGTGGTGCTACAGGGTTTATTTCCTTGATCGGGGGCAAATCAAAGTATCCCAAGCCCACCTTTAATAGCTGACCAGCCCGGTGGGGCAGTGGAGGCTGGATGCACCCATCCATCCACCGGACACAGAGACTGCAGAGCTGCTCCCCAAACCTTAACACAGGTCACTTCCAGTGCTAGAATTCTGGGGTAATTCTCTTCTTTTCTGAATTGTTTGGCTTTTTATTAACAAGACTATATCTTTTTAAAACAAATAACAAGGTCATCTTTTTTTTTTTTTTTTTTTAATTCAAAACTTATGACATGTAGCTCTTACCAAACACCCTGCAGGATAAACTAGAACTTCAAACTTCATGTTTCCTAACATGCTTTATAAAACTGAGTTCTTCTTAGGGTGCCTGGGTGGCTCAGTCAGTTGAGCGTCTAACTCTTGATTTTGGCTCAGCTGATGATCTTAGGGTCCTGGATCAAGCCCTTCATCGGGCTGTGTACTGGGTGTAAAGCCTCCTTAGGATTCTTTTTCTGTCTCTGCCCTTCTCCCCTGGCATCTTCTCCCCCCCCCACCTCCCCTTTCCCCTCATATGCACCACCCTCTATCTCTCAAAAAAAAAAAAAAAAAAAAAGAGAGATGCCTGAGTGGCTCAGTGGTTGAGCGTCTGCCTTCGGCTCAGGGTGTGTACCCAGGGTCCTGGGATCAAGTCCCACAGCGGGCTCCCTGCGAGGAGCCTGCTTTTTCTCTACCTGTGTCTCTGCCTCTCTTTGTCTCTCATGAATAAATAAATAAATAAAATCTTTAAAAAAAGAGAGAGAGAGAGAGGGCAGCCCCGGTGGTGCAGTGGTTTGGCACCGCCTGCAGCCTGGGGTGTGATCCTGGAGACCCAGTATCGAGTCCCACATCGGGCTCCCTGTGTGGAGCCTGCTTCTCCCTCTGCCTGTGTCTCTGCCTCTCTCTCTCTCTCTGTGTCTATGAATAAATAAATAAAATCTTAAAAAAAAAAAAAAAAGAGAGAGAATTGAGTTCTTCTCCCTGAACTTGAGCCTAGTTCGTATCAACACTCATTTTCAGGGCAGGAAGATGTTCCTCACACTAAGGGCAGAACTATTCCAGTGGAGTTCCGCACTCAGCCATACCCACATGTACCCACAGGGCTGGTGGTTGAGAGGGGGGCAGGCGGTGGCCCTTCTGTGGGCTCAGGGAGAGTGGGGAGACTTACTTGTCAACCATCCCCTTCTGTTTCAGGATCCGGTACACTTCGGCAGAAGTCTGAGGTCCTTGGAGCTTCTGTCCATTCAGCATCTCTTTCTCCAATTCTTCGATGGTCTTAAAAACAAGGACGAAAACCCTATTGTAAAGACTAGAGGGGGGGGGCGCCTGGGTGGCACAGTCAGTTAAGTGTCTGACTCTTGGTTTAGGGCTCAGGTCATGATCTCGGGGTCATGAGACTGAGCCCCAGGTTGGGCTCTGTGCTTGAAAGTGGGGTCTGCTCGAGATTCTCTCTCACCCCTCCCTCTGCTCCTCCCACTTCCCCACTGTGTGCATGCACACACACACTCTCTCTCTCTCTCTCAAATAAATAAATCTTTAAAAAAAAAAAGTATAGAGAATCACTTATTTCAAGAGGCGAGTTGGGGGGCAGGGGTGGAGCTGCCATCCTCTGCTGCAAGCCAATGGAAAGAGACATAGAAGCTAAAAGGCTAAGGTGGAGGTACTTTGAAGCGAAAGCAGACAAATGTCAACAGGATATGCCCAGCAAATGACAAATGCTGGCCTCTATCTTCACTGGCCGGCGGCTCGCCCCAGCCCAGGGGTCTCAAGTTAGGGCAGATGGGCTGGCGGGGGGACAGGCCAGGGGCTACCTTCCCAGTTCTGGCAAACGCCTCGGCCACCCTGCGGTTCCGGCCTCCGTAGCAGGTGGTGATGAGGTCGGCCACGCCGCAGCTCTCCAGGAAGGTGGCCGTGGACACCTGGCCCTTGCAGAAGATCCTGGCGAAGGCGATCATCTCCATGAGCCCCAGGCGGATGACAGCTGCTTTGGTGTTGTCCCCGCTGTGAAGGCCGTCGCAGAACCCGGCTCCCACTGCTACAATGTTCTGCGAAGGAGATGGGGAAGCCCAGGGGTGCCTGTCATACACCGCCACTGACGAGGATGCCGCAAAGGTGAGGCGGACGGCAGCACCCCCCAGTCCGCCCTCAGAGTACTCCGCAGGCTCCCACCCAGCCCCAGCCCCTGCTCTCCTGCCCTGACTGCCAGAGGTGAAAGAAGGGTCTAGACTTCCACTCTCCCGTTTAGAGGAGCCAGAGCTCAGGCTGGGGTTAGTAGGAAGCAGCAGTTGGGAAGCACCAGCCAGAGAATTAGGGTGGTTGATTGGAGGCTCTGGTTAAATACTGTTTGGACAAATTGCACCCCCACCCTTTAAAATCAAATGCCTTATTGAACTATAAGATTCCCATGGAAAAGTATGCAGGTCCTAAGTATATGGCTTGGTGATATTCCCACAAACCGAACATACTCTTGTAACCAGCACCCTAATGGAGAAACAGAACATAACCAGTGCCCCCAGAAAGCCACCCTCACACCCCCTCCCAGGCACCACCCCCACAAAGGTAACCACTCCCCTGACTTCTAACAACACAGGTATTTGCTTTGCCTGTTTTTAAATTTTACGTGACTAGAATTGTATGGTATGTCATCATTTGTGTTTCTGTCTCAATTTGCCATCATGTTTGTGAGATTTAGTTGTATTTTTACATAAAGCATATTTATTATCTTGCTGCACTGCATTCTACTGCGTGAATACACGGCATAGCTTTTTTCAGCCATTCTCTTATTGATTGGCAATGGGGTAGTTCCCAGTCTGCGGCCACCCCAAATGGTGCTGCTGTGGCCATGCTGGCGCATGTCCTTTGGTGACCATGTGCAAGCATTTCTGTTGGATGTGCACCTGGGAGTGGAGGTGGGTCAGTATGTCTGCATATGTGCTGCTCAAGTTTCCGCCTTTTGTTTCACTTATCCCTATGCAGGCATTCGTGGGGGCCCCGATCTTGCATGGCACTCTGCTCTGTACAGGGCAGATAAGACAGAGACTGCCTCTTCAGAAGCTGATAATCTGGTTCAGGGATCAGCAAACTAAGAGCCAACTGCCTGTTTTTGTAAATGTTGTACTAGAAGCCAGGCCCCCTGCTCGTTTGTGTGCCATCTGCGGTTGCCTTGGTGCTGTTAACAGCAGATTTGAGTGGTTGTGACACACACCGTATGGGCCACAGAGCCCACAATGTTTCCTATGTGGCCCTTACAGATAAAGTCTGACATCCTCTGGCCTCATAGGAAAAGAAGACGTGTGCATGTAATTATAACCTGGGCAGAAACGGATGTTCCACAAGAGGTACCAAAAAACCTGATTTTCATTTTAACCTATGTGTACTAAGCATGCCCTATGTGGGAAGCTCTACACAGGGCCCAGAGAGTGGGGCTGTGGGACATGGGGGCTGAGGGTGCCACCCAATGAGGAATGGCAAAGACAGAATGGGACACAGAGTTTGTGCCCAAAGAATGGACAATACAGTTGCCGTAAGAGGCAACAGAGTGCATCAAGAGACAGAAGGGCAAGAGTGTGCTGAGGAGTGGTGGGAGCCACAAGCTTCATTTCAAAGCAGGGAAGGCTTCACGGAGGACGGGTGTCTGAGCTGGGCCTCAAATCCTACGTAAAACCAAACAAGTAATGCCTGCATGCACCCATTCACTTGGGACTTCAGTAAAGTCCCTGGGGTTCCTAGCCCTTTCCACTTTACCAAAGCTCCTTCACCAAGAACACTTGAAGCCAGGGAAAATGCAAATATTTTGCCTTTGTCTAACCATACTAGCATTTTTTCCATAATACCTGGTGACTACCTATGAATTTGCCTGTAGAGATCTTAAAATATGAAGCTAATTGGTAACAAATAGGAAATCAGGGGCACCAAGGTGGCTCAGTCGGTGAGCTTCTGCCTTGGGCTCAGGTCATGATCCTGGGGTCCTGGGGTGGAGCTCCACATCTGGCTTCCCTGCTCTGAAGGGAGTCTGCTCCTCCCTCTGCCCCCTCCCCTGCTCATGCTCTCTCTCCCTCTCTCTCCTGTCTCAAATAAATAAAATCTTAAAAAAAAAAAAAAAGGAAATAAAAATAAGCACATCTTTTCCTCAAAAACAAAGCATTTTTTTTTAAATTAATGAAAGAATACCTCTTAAAACATCAGGCCTGTGAAATCTGAGGGATGAGGTTAAAAACAGAACAAACTGGAGAGAAAAATGTCTTCCCTGGTTGATATGCAGTTTCTAATAAAATACATGAAGCATAGCATTGATGCGGCCAGGCTCACCCAGAGAAACAGAGCTGGCCATTTAAACACAGCTATCGCTCACCAGGAGACTGAAGACACAAAGCCATTGCAGATGGAAAAAAAAAAAAAAATCACTGAGCCCTGCAGAAGCTTTTGTCTACTTCCAATACACCAATAAAACAGAAGCCTCTCTTCCAATGAAGAGGGCTAGAACAAGGGATAGGAGTGGATGGCTCCCAGAATCTATCTTGATCTCTTCCTCAGGAATAATCCCAGGGCTTTCTCTGATTGCTGGCTATTCTTCTCAAGGCTAATGACACATAAAAGGAAAAGTTAAAAAAAAAAATTCTCTAAAAAATTATCAGAATGCTGGCATAAGCATGTGCGGGTTTTAGACGAATTTGCACTCTTTCTGTGCTCTAGATGGTCTCCCAGGGAGGTTATACGCTGTTCTAACAGACCAACAAAGTAGCTTCCAGGTGACTCACTCTCCCCTTACAAAGGCCAGACTCCACATAGACCTGACTTCCTACAGCTGTAGGTGGAGCTGACCAGGAACCGGGTCTTCTGCATTAACAGCCCAAGCAGAGAGCCCAAGTTTGTTTTCCTAAGGTACTAACTTCTGTTCGTACTTGCAAATGCCTCCCAACCCCTTCCTGCCACACAGGCAATGGAAACTGCAGGTTTCATCAGCCCCCCATGGCACCTCTCCATCCTCAAGTACCATGGCCTCTGCTCCCTGAGGCAGGAAGTGGGCAGCTCCTGGCTTGGTGCACTCTTAGGGTCTGCAGCCTCCCGTGAAGGGAGAGGGGAGAGGCAGTGGGAAAGGAGCACTGAGATGCTGAGGGGCGAAACAACCCTTCACCACCCGTGCAAAGATGAGCCGGGGATGGTAAGAAGACCCAAGGCTGTGTCCAAACAGACCCAGACACCCCTCCTGGCAAAGCAGCCAGACTAAGGGAGCCATGGGAGACACCAGAAGGATGTGCCTTGATACCCGGTTGGCCTCTGCTTCTCACTCTGCCTCACCGCTGTGTGACCCGAGAACCACTGCTCTACCTCTCTGAGCATTCTGGGCCTCAGGGATAACATTCAGGGCTTGGATAAAAGTCTTTCAAGCCCTTTCGGGTGGTGGCATTTCCTCCAGAAGCCGGGACCGCTGTGACCTGCCCTGAGTCTGCAGATCAGTGGGATGGTACAGAGGTGACAAAAAGACACCTGGCGACATGGAGGGGGTCTGAGTTCAGAGGCCACCAGGCTAACCGTCGGGTGAGCCCGCTGAATGGCTATACTGGCATGACCATATCAACATGCCAAGGCCTAGGATCCAAACGGTTAGACTGGCGAAATGGCTCTCTAATGCCTCCTGCACTGTCTCTTGTGTCCCCTTCACAATGTGACCCCTCCTGGAGGTCACTTAGCGAACCAACCTCAGTGCATGTCTATAGATTGAATGAGAGATAAAACGACTTCCTTCCAGAGGAAGAGGGAGGGATTATTATAAAGTGCCTATAGTGAGTCCACTGCACACACAGTCTCATCTGAATTCTGGTGACAGCCCTGGCACATGTATCCCTCGCCTCCAGTCTGGCTCATGGAGGTTGAGCAGCTTACTGAGAATACTTTGCTGGTTAATGAGGCAGTCCCAGTGCTTGGAGCCACAGGGCCACTCTGTTCCCCATGGTATGGCAAACTTGGTCCGACCTCTCCTCCCCCACAGGGTCGGAGACCTTCCTGAACCCTCTGCCATCAGATGTCCAAGGAGAGTGCCTCTCTGGCCTGCAGGTGGGCTTGGGAGATAAGGACGGTAGGCTTAGGAGAAGAACAGATTTATGGGGGGAAATAATGAAAATAGGTTAACTTTATTGAACTGCTCTAAGTGCTTCCAGTTGTTATTACCTGATTTAATCTTCACAACATTCCTACAAAATGGGTCCTATGATCATGCTCAGGGAGAGGTGAGGAAACTCCCCACACAGGGTAAGTAGCTGGCAGCCTGGCTCCAGAGTTCTCTCCAGGGGGGTAGATCACACTGTGCTGCTCTAGATCAGTAAATGAAAGGCACAGAGGGGCCACTTTGGATTTAAGATAAGAACTTTCTAACAGGATAAGCTGACCTCACCCAACCAGAAGGGCTTGGAGGTAAAGGAGTGAGCTCTCAGTCACTGGAAGCATCCAAGTAGGAGCTGTGTGGATAGAGCCCTGAGCTCCAGAGCAATGCTTCTTCTTTTTTTTTTTTTTTAAGATTTTATTTATTTATTCATGAGAGACACAGAGAGAAGCAGAGGCACAGGCAGAGGGAGAAGCAGGCTCCCTTTGGGGAGCCCGATGTGGGACTCGATCCCAGGACCCCAGGATCATGACCTGAGCTGAAAGCAGATGCTTAACCACTGAGCCACCCAGGCATCCCCAGAGCAATGCTTCTGACCCTTCGTGTCAGTGCTCTTAGAGAAAAGGCAGAGGAGGCTACTCATGGCCTGGGACTGCAGCCACCTTCTTGGCCTTTATGTGACCCCTTCACCAGAGGGCACACAGGTGAGGACTACCTTAGTTTCCCCTAGATGGCTGACCTCCCCACGGTGGGGGTGGAGAGGCGAGGAGAGAAGTAGGAGGCCACTGCCGGGTAAACTCCACCCTTCCAAGGGGACCCTGGGCACAGATCCAGTTTAATCGCCTTATGATGGATCTTGAAACCCTCGCTCTCTCCCTCTACCACTTATCAGTGTCAAAAGAAAAATAAACACACTGAGCCAGTCAGATCGTGTTTGAATAGCAT